TTGAGTCGCCATCCTCTAACTCTATGTTGTTCGACAGCAAATCGGATGCTCGTCTCTTAGACATCCATTCCTCTCGTTTTGCTTTCTATATCTCTAGTTTGGGTTTCATTGGGTTGGGTTACTCAGTCAAAAAAGATGGCACGAAATTGTCTTGGAGGACGCAACTAATGGCTGAGTAATTGATCGACTGAGTCGTGCTACCCTGGCAGCAAAAGCAGCTTCAGGAGGAAACCAACTACTAACCACTAAAGCACAGAACGCATAACACAACGTATCTTTTTGTACGGATTCTAAGAAGAAACAGCAGTGCGAGTAGAGTACACAAGAATATAAAAGTCAGTGTCTGCATTTCGTGAGAGTCATCATTAGAGGACTCTCACTTTAATTGGCATTTTGTGTAGTCATCGAAATACTCGTTTTGCTTTATTCCGTCCTCCTATTTTCTTTTTTTATATACATGAATCTCTTCTCTGAACACTTGTGGGTTCGAAACAGCGCACATGATTTTAACGACACCGTAATGGAGAGTGCCAGGTTCATTTTCTTGCCCAGGAAGAGAGGGGGGGGGGGATAAGCTGGGGTTTTAATACTCAAAGCACCACATAAACGAGTGGCCTTGCACTCATTGAAGCGGAATGCGACCATCGCAGGCGCGAACCTAACACACGACCTGCATCTGCAGTCCATCAGTTCGTGCAGCTGCAGATTGTGGCATCTGCAAAGCCCGAAGTGGTGGACTAATAACAAACGTATAAAACTGTAAAATATCCTTCTATGGATACTAGGTGTTATTATAACGACTGGTACATTCAAAAGTATCATGGTCGTGAAATTGAAGAAAACCTCTAGTTATTCCAGGCACATAATCAACTTTACAATCATGCCGCAGCAAAGTTACATTGGTTGTGTATACGCACAATTGTGCATTTGTTTGTGAACAGAGGCTTGAAAGATAAATATATCAAGCACATAGGAAAGTGCATATCTTTCGTTTTAAAAACGGCCGGCGCAGTGTTGCAGTAGTTACGGCGCTCGGTTCCTGACCTGAAGGTCTCGATCTTGATCCCAGTTATGGTAGGTGCATTTTGATGGAGACAAAATGCAAGAGGTCCGTGTAGTTTCCCGTGTCAGTGCACGTCAAAGAACTCTAGATGGTCTAAATTTCCGGAGCCCTCCACTATGACGGGCATCACAATCATGTCCTAGTTATGGCCCGTAAAAGCCCGTATATTAGGGTTGTCACATTCTCAATATCTCTGTATTCACTTTCATTTATTTTCTACTCGCCAACATTAGGATTACTTGACGACGTGCCTAATCAGCTACCAATATTTTGTGACGCTCAGCTTTTGGCATGGCGAATCAGACTGTAGTCGGATATATAAGAAATTTGGAGAGGTCACCCCATCTAGATGACCGAAACATGGCTGCTGGTTTTCTCCGTGACGCACCCGAAGAAATAGTTTCGCTCTAAAAGTTCTATAGTATTTCTAAAACGTATGTTTCTCGGCATAATTGGGACTTTATATCTCAAAGACTGCCTAAGTTTTAGATCGCGAAAAGGTAATTTTTTGGGAATTCGGTGCTGTTTCACAAAAACTTCTTGTTGTTTCACAGATGGGCTGAGATTGTATGAAATGCAGTGTGACTGACATCTAATCACTACTAATTAAAGAGAGAATCGTTGACTAATTTTCAGCTTTAGTGAACAGCAGGAAGACACAACTTTTGAAAGTCGCTACTGATGCTACGTTCTGCTCTCTTTACCAGTGCAGTTTACGGTAGTTCACGTGCTAAACTGGTAGTAGTGCTGCTCGGTTCGCTTCTATCAAATACTGCAGATAAATATTAGGACAGGTGGCCACCAGGGGCGCTCCCATTATGGCGGCAACGCGGCTGTGATTGGATACGTCGTGAGCGCGGTGAAATTGAATACGGGACACCATAGTTGCGTGGTGATATCACTTTTACTTCTGCATGCATGTGTGCATAGTCTGCGTGAAAAAGCTGATAGAATAATAGTGCCGTTAGATGTGAAGGCTGCTCCAAGCGTCCTGGGTAACAGCAAACGTGGTGGACGTACCCGATTTTCACCGCGGGCGTCTGTTAATCAAACTGATTGACGCATGAACTCGGATACAAACTCGTTGAATGTGAGAAGGCCCGAGTTACATTAGTGGCTGTGATGGTGCCAGTGTGACAGTCAAGCGTTTGATGTAAAAACGCTACACAGAAGCTTGTTTGCATATAAAATAATTTGGTGAGCTTACACTACTTGTGCAAGGTTGGAGCCATAGAGGAGGTTGTATAACCTAGCTTCTTGCAGCTTTTTAAGTTGGTCGTCCACACATGTGCTTGCTCGGCTTCAAAGTGAAGACCACATCTGCTGTCTTAATTTTATTTAACTAATTTACTGAGGCATGACGACCATTACACTTTGCTGTGTTGTCTTTTTAATAAGGCTTCAAATAAAAGGCAATTATCTCGGGCACACTTAGAAAAGGCGTGATTAGTATAGATATATTAATCGTAATCCTGATTAGCAGGATACTAATTGTAATATTATTAGTAAGGGCTAATCAGCATGGTTTTACTTAGCGTGTTCATAATAATCGTAGCGTTAATTAGCATAGTTTAGTTAGCTCATCAACTAGCATGCTTTAGTTAGCCCAGTTATAGCTTTACATGGCTTCAATAGCACTGTCTTTTCAAGATGTGGCGTAATTACTTCAACCTTGTCATGACTTGGTGTAATTGGTTTGTTCGTAGCATGTCCTGGCCTAACTAGCCAAGTTTACCATTCAGCTAAAAAAATCGCGGCATATGCACCGAGTGAATGATGAGTGGGGTGAAGCTTAGGAGGGTTTTCTTGGTAAACCGTGAATCGTCTGTCTGTCTGTCTGTCTGTCTGTCTGTCTGTCTGTCTGTCTGTCTGTCTGTCTGTCTGTATGTCTGTCTGTCTGTCTGTCTGTCTGTCTGTCTGTCTGTCTGTCTGTCTGTCTGTCTGTCCGTCTGTCTGTCTGTCTGTCCGTTTATCCATCCGTCCGTCCATCCGTTCGCACCTGCTAGGTGACTCATTAACTTGGCGGTCACGCACCACGAGCTAGGAGGAACAGACACACGGCTTTAGGAGCTTCACCCCTAATAGCTAATCACCCAGCCCCACGTGCTCGGGGGCTAGCAGTCAGTGAGAATAAAGGCAACGCGCCCCGGCCAAGCAGCGCGCTAGAATGTACAGGCTGACCATGAAAATTACCAAGTGGTCTCGGGTTTAGCTACGGTCGCGATTTTCTATGACGCTCTTCCGGTGCTGATCTCAGAGGCAACCATGCTAAATGTTTTAAAACAGCCTTAGTGCAGTTGTTAAAAGCTTCAAAACAAATTTAAGCACCCCGTGCCTCTAGTAGACAGCATCACGAAGAGTTTCTGGCACATTTATTGCATGGGTGCACTTCTACACTCAGTGGAACGACAAAACAAATGAAAGAGGATGCCTCTGGTTTGAAAACACCGCCCAATTTCGTCTACCGTCCTTGACGCTGACTGGTTTCATCGTAACCATAGAGTTTCTTAAAGTTAACTAGAGGGGCCTGTGTCGCCGCGATCTTTCAGCGAACATGGGAATGGTGCGTAGTACACACTTGCCTAGTCTTCGTACTTGCGGGCGGCGAATCGTACTTGCGGCTTCATTTATTGCTGTGTTTCGGTTTTGTTTTGAAATGAGAAAAAAAGATTGAACTCTTTTGAATTTTGTGACCTGATTTGGAAAGGCCATTCTAAAAGAATAAGGTGGTGAAGCGTAATCGCTGAACATTTCTTGATTTTTGTTTCATGAAAAAAAAAGCTCTAAGCCACACGACTCCACACGGAGCCAAAAGCAGGCCAGAAGTACGAATATTACACAAATGTGTGTACTACCCATCATTCCCATGCTCGCTGAAGCACCGTGCGTTGCAGCTCCCATAGACACTAGCGCCAGAGTTCCCTCTAGTGTATAATAGAAAACTCTATGATCATAACCAATGAAACGCTGCGCGCTTTGTGGTGAATTTGACGTTTTCGTACTGTTGGCTAGTTCATAAGGGGGTGTAGGGAAGATCAGAGTTTCACAAAACTCAGGCGAAACCCGGCCGATCCTGCATAGTGCCCCCGGACGTTTCTTTGTAGCAGTCGCTCACAGCAGAATCCCGTTTTCAGGTACCAGACTACCAATGCTCGCTGCAACCGTTCATCGCAAACGCAACCAAAACGCATGACGTGTAGCTTTTACATGCCCTAACGAGTTTCGTAATTCGCTTTGATGAGTGCCAAGTACCTACAACTGACGCCAAACATCTCTGTTCTGAGCGAAGACGGCCTCATCGTGGGTGGAGTCACCGATCGTCCAGCACATGACGTCAGTCTAAAACGGGCACCCACTGGTGCAGGCCCGTGTTCTTCCCGCAACTGATGTACAAAATACCATGCACTTTTATTGTTGTACGTGGCTGTAGCTCGATATTTCTCACAAACACAACATTATTGCCAGTGAAGGGCTTCGGAAAGAGGTCAATCATTCAGGAAATTTGCTTACATATAATACCAAAAATTTGCGTTTTGAAAACTGTATTTATCGTTCTCTACATGGAGCTTCATCTTTCCAGTATGATTCGTGAGCTATTTACTTCATAGTTAATAAGCCCTGCCACGGTGGTCTAGTGGCTAACGTACTCGGCTGCTGACCCGCAGGTCACGCCATCTAATTCGGGCGTCGGCGGCTGCATTTTTGGTGGAGGCGAAAATGCTGCAGGCCCATGTGCTCAGATTCGGGTGCACGTTGAAGAATCCCAGGTGGTCAAAATTTCCGACGCCCTCCACTACAGCATCAATAACAATCATATGGTGGTTTTGAGACATTAAACCCCGATATAAATCAATCGTCTGTAATAAGGTTCTGGTAAAACGCGTAATGAAGTAAAACGGCTGCGCCTCTCAGTACTTTTGCCTGCGCCCTGTTTCAGGAGGACAAGAAACTGCTGATATGCACGAACACCTGGTTGACGACACTTTTCGTACGGCGTGGAGAAAGTCAACGCGACGTCAAGTCAGCCAGCGCAACGAGCAGATACCCAGTGCGCCAGTGTTAACGGTACGTACTTTTTACGTGTGAAACTTGCAATCCAGCGAACAACTCTTCGAATCTGTGCAACGCTGCTGTAACTACGCATTCCCACGAACGAAAATGTAGATGAGGTTTCGAAAGTCCCGACTCTTGCCCCCTTCCCACGTCCTTAACTGTCTGTTCCCAAGAAACGGACGTAACACGTTTAAGGCGAACCCCTCTCCTTGCCATAAGCATGCCCCTCAAACCCACTCTTCGGAAAAAATCTTGTTTCCAGCCATTCCGCCTGTCGTCAGTTGTTTGTATTGTATCAGTTGTATTTGTATCAGTTAGCAGAAGACAGATGCGGGGCGTTGGCTACGTAGTTAAAACAAGAGCGTGAGCAATATCATACATCGCAAATCTTGAATGTAAACATTCTACAGAAGTCTGTCTGGTTGGGTATGAAACTGAAAGATGGTTTAGACTCCAACCACGATGGTAAACCTAACCATGGAGTACATAGAAGAAAAAGCACTCAGCTCCTTCTCGCCGCGACCCAAGCTTTTTCTGCGTTATATGGACGATTGATTTTTCGTCATTAAGACGGCTGAAGTTGAAAGCTTCAGACAACACCAAACTTCCGTGCCCCCAGCCATACAATTTATGACCGAGTGTGTAAGCGACCGCTGCCTGCCCTTTCTCGAAGTCCAGGTGGCAAGAAAGCGTGACGGCATGGATTTCTCCATTTATAGGAAGTCAACGCACACTGGCCGCTACCTTCAATTCAATTCTTCCCACTACGCCTCGCACAAGGCCTCGGCTGTGACCACGCTACTCCAGAGGACTAACAACTTATGCTCCCATGACACAGAGCGAAAAAAGGAAGAGGCCCGCGTAATTGCGGATCTCATAAAATACGAATACCGAAAAAACTTCATTTGAGCCACCACCCACCGCCCAGACCAACAGGGGATACGAAAACCCCAATCAACATTAATTGGCAGACCTCCGAAACGCGTACCGGTCCCAAACGTTCAGGGAACCAGTGAGATGTTCACGCGGATCTTCAAAAAAGAAGGGGTTCGCATCGCGCAGGTGCCTTTGTGTACGCTGGGCCTCCTCCTCTCCCGCCCGAAAGACCGGCCAACAATGAACAGGAGCCCCGGTGTCGTTTACAAATTTCCGTGCGCAGAGTGCCCCTCGTCGTATATCGGCGAGATGAAAAACCTACCGGAACGACTGAAGCTACACGCCAACGATGTGCGGAAATTCTACAAACAGCGCAGCGCAGTCGCTGAACATGCTGAGACGTTGGATCACAGAATAAATTTCGAAGTGACGGCCATCCTTGAAAGAGAGCCGAACTGGAGGAGAAGGTTGTTACTCAAGTCGTGGCACATACAGAGGACAGCCCATAATATCAACCGCTCTCTCGGAACCCTTCCCCCAGTGTTTTTTCCCGGACTGCGCTCCACGCTAAAACGAGAGAGAGAGAGAGAGAGGTCATTAGCCACCCCACCAGTGCTTTCGAGACGCGGCTGCTACATAGCCTCCGCAGTAACCCCTGAGGAAGGAACCAAGTCCGTTCCGAAACTTCGGCTATCTTCAGAACTTTTGGTTGTAGTCTAAATCATCTCCCAATCGCAAATCTTGAGGTCATTTGTATTATAGTTTGTGAACTTGTGGTGCCCAGAGCGGGATGTCGTATGAAGTGACCTGATGGCACAAAAAATAAGCTGGAACAATCCGATCCTTCATCAAAACGAGATTTTGGTTCTATTTTACGCGAACTATATTTATGCGAGATTAAATGAAATTTCTTCGTTTTTACTTTTTCGGTCAGCAAATAATGAAACCACTTTCTGTACTGAAATGTAAAAAAAGAGACTAATCTATAGTAAAACATAATCTATACAATAAAACTTTACTAATGACGAAATACAGCACAAAAAATTAACTAAATCTGAAAAAACTTCTATAAAGCTATTTCCAAGCGTGCCGTATATGCCCGCTTAATACCGAGACTGGCTAAATGAGGGCCCCTATTCCCTGACGTCAGCTCATATTGAGTATCTCCTGTTATAAAAATATAAGAAAATAATGTTTATTTACTACTTTTTGTGACAAGACTGCTCGAGCCCCACGGTGCTAATGAGTAGGGTAGAGAACAAAAAAAGTCTTATTCTGCAGGAATTCCCAAACAGATCGAAAAGCCGTATACTTTAATATTTATTCATATCTCAGTCTCATTCCATGACATTTTGTGTTTCGAAATGAGTCGCAGTTTCCTCGTTCATTTATTCTACCTATTTCATGTTGCGAAACCACATATATTTTCACCTCTGATGTACTTGTAAATTTCTCAAAAAGTAAGTAAGAACCCGTTTTAAGGCGTTCATCCCCGTTTATTTACTTCATACAGAAATAAAATAGTCAGTTAACACTTGGTGCACGATAAACATTTGTTTGGCAGTAAACTTCGCAGGTTGTAGATATATAACTATGTATACGTGCCTTACTACTCTCTTTAACACCTGTAATAACTTGCGTGTCTTGCTACTCTATTTAACACCTGTAAGAGGTCATCTGGTGCTGTCAGTGATGAGTTTTTTTTTTCTCTGCTGAGATAACAAGAAACGTTACGTTGCCTAAGAGCAGGGCATAAGACACACGTTCCAATCTTGTATGTTATGACAAATAACATTAGCGAAGCGTCGGGCTACTGTTTATATTCTGTGTTCTGCATAAGCCGACTATCCATTGGTTTTCTTGATTCTTCTTTCAGGGAAGAACATCCCGCATTTTAGAAGATGTTCCGAAGCTTGCTATCGACGAGGGAGAGCTCGAAAAATTGACGAAAGAAACCCAAGTATGAAAGTAACACTTTTGTAAAAAGTGACGCTTCATTACTGATATCAACGCGAACGCCACAACATAAATGAATTTTCATTTGCCTTAGTTTTTGGCCATTAAAATCTCCTTTTCAACAGTGCTTTCCATTTCTTGATCGTGCTGGACAACTTCGAAGAATTTACGACCCCTTTTCTCTTTTCCATAATTGCTTAGCCAAAGTCGTTCTCTGGTAAACAAGGTATACCAATTATTTTGCATGAATGCTGTTCTAAAACAGCTGTTCTCATTATCGGTGTCAGTGTTCTTTTTAATGGCGAGAAAATCCCCATTCCAAGGGCTGACATATTGGGCCCAATGAAATGCACCACAAAAGAATGAACAATTCAACGGTTGGTTCTATCAGTGCGCCAGCCAACGCCGGTTGTGGTCCAGAGACCGAGTCATAGTGAACAGTAGGTATACCATGCACAAATATATTCTCAGTTAAAAGGACACTGAAATCAGACAACAATTTACGTCAGAGTGAAATCTCAATGTATGACAACATCTAAAACGACAATATTATCAACAAGAGTGCTCTACTTAGCGAGAAATTAAATTAAATGCACAAGAACACAAGCGCCGAAGTAGGACATTTTTAAAATGATCCCGATGCCATCAGGGGGACCACCTACAATCAATCACTAGTAATCGATCTAACTGCACTATATATAAAACGTTCCGTGCATTAAAAGACGCAATAAAATGCTGCTTTTTTGTTTCTGTTTCATTCATAAAAAAAAGAGTCGCCGGACGTTACTATGAGGAATGGCGCGAGTGGTTCAAAAATTAATTTTTCGCGTGGTTGGACGGATGGATGAACGCAATCATATGGCTATACCTTTGAGATCAGGCGGTGGCCAACTCCACCAAGCCGTAATACTTAATGAACCAAAAACTAGATTTATTATTTTTTTCCTTTAAATAGTGAGGTTGGGGATTGGTACTTTACAGTGAAGGGTTTAATTTTCACTCGTGCCTTGACTTTAGCCACCAATCAGATAACCTCCTTTTAGGGTGAAGCCCTTTACAGAACATTATCAGGGGTTCGGCAGCTTCCTCCTCCTCCCCGCATGCACTGCATATAGTGTTTACCCCTTCGTATTTGGCCCAATATGTCTTGGTTCGCAATACTCCCGTCCTGGCCTCAAACAGTAGAAAACTACCCTGAGTATTATCATAGATCCTTTCCTTGGCAATTTCCAGCTTAAAAGTTCGATAGATCTTCAGTGCGGACTTCTTAATCATGCCAATTCTACACATATCGGTCTCAGCTTCCTTCACCTTCTTCTTAACCGATAATTCTTTTTGGTTTGGCCCCCTGCTGTTTTCTAAATATTTACCAATAAATTTTCTGGTTCGCTTCCTCCATTTTGTATCCACATTCTTCATGTACAACTATCTGAATACCTTCATAGCCCAACCCTCCTCCCCCATTTCTCTCAATCGCTTCTCAAATTTTATCTTGCTGCTAGCTTTCCTGCCCTCAAATGATGTCCATCCCATATCACCTTGTACTGCCTGATTTGGTGTATTCCCGTGAGCTCCTAAAGCAAGCTTACATATTCCTTGTTGCTTAATTTCTAATCTTGCTTGAACTTCTGATATCATGCACAAGACCTCATTGCCGAACGTAAGGCCAGGAACCATGACCTCTTTTCATATTCCTCTCACAACATCATACCTATTGTAATTCCACAGTGCCCTATTTTTTATCACTTCTGCATTTCTCTTACCTTCAGTCGTCACCTATATTTCGTGTTCCTTTAGGTATTCGGTCCCATTTCTTATCCATACGCCCAGATATCTGTATTTATCTGTTATCTCTAGCATGACCTCCTGTATCCTAAGCTTGCGACCTTCAATATTATTAAAAATCATGACTGATGATTTTTCCCTACTAAATCTGAAATCTAACCTATCTCCCTCATTACCGCAGATGTTCATCAATCTTTGCAAATTTTCCTTGTTGTCGGCCATTAGCACTATATAATCTGCGTACATCAATGCTGGTAGTGCCTGTTCAATGAGTTTTCCATGTTTGACGAAATAAAGGTTGAAGCCAAGTACACTTTTCTCGAATTTGGCCTCTAATCCTTGTAGTTACATCATGAATAACAAGGGTGACAGAGGACACCCCTGCCTAAGACCCCGTTTTACCTTTGTGGGCTTGGATACCTGTTTTTCCCACTTTATAACTACCTTGTTACCTTTATAGATATCCTTTAAAAGATTAGTCACTCCATTTTCCACACCTAGTGTGTTCAGTATTCCCCACAAGTCCTCTTGAACGACGCTATGGTACGCTTCCTTGATATCCAAAAATGCTAGCCAGAGAGTCTGTGTTTCTTTTCTGCTATTTCAATGCACTGCGTCAGTGAGAACAGATTGTCTTTCAACCTCCTGTGTTTCCGAAACCCATTCTCCAGTTCCCCAGCACTCCCTCATCTTCTATCTATACCTCCAGTTTTTCCTTTATAATCTGCATTGCCAGCCTCTAGACTACTGATGTCACTTTTATAGGACGGTAGTTGTTTATGACAGCTTTGTCCCCCTTTCCTCTATAGATCATGCTCATCCTGCTGAGTTTCCATCCATCAGGGACTTCACCATCGATTATTATTTTGCTCACTGCCTCTCTCAAAGTTCGCTTAGACTTCGGAACCAATGTCTTTATCAGCATAATCGGAATGCCATCTGGGCCTGTTGATGTACTACTAGGAACCTTCTTCTTAGCCCTTTCCCACTCTCGTTGTGAAAATGGAGCCATCGCGCCACTTCATTGATCATTGTCTATTGCGGTGCATAAGGCACTTCTTTGTTGAAATCTTTCTGTCACCCTTGCTCTTATATATTCAACAGCTTCGTCCCCTTCTAGCCTAGCACCATGAGCTGTAGTTATAAACTTCTGCTCTAGGCTCGTCTGACTTCTTAGGGAGTTTAGATGGTTCCAAAATTTTGCAGCTACCTTTCCATCCTTTTTATGTAGTTCTGCCAGCAACTGAGCCCACTTTCTTCCAGTCTTTTCATTGGTCAGAAGAGATGCTTTCCTTCTACAGCTTAGAAAGATGTCCCATTTTCTTTCAACATCATCTGTCGGTTCCCCCTGGTGCTTAGCATGTCTGCGTTTACTAGAGGCTTCCTGGCGTTTCGCCATGGCTATCTTCACTTCCTCATTACACCAACTCTTGGGTTTGTATCTTTTTTTTTCGGGGTGACTTGTTACGTGCCTCAGCAAGCTCTAGCTCAGTCGAATTAGATTCATTTATGTCCACACTGTTTTAATATTCCGAGTGATTACTTTCTAAATTTGTTTAGTACCTATTTCTATTTGCCTTTCTGAATAAAAATTTTCCTGTAGTTGCTCATCTTGTCCCCTTCCCACTTTCACTGCTCTTCCTAAACTTAGCTTGATACGTTTGTGATCACTACCCAGACTTCTGGAGCAACATTCATCTATGTGCATTCATTCCCTGAGCCTATCATACAACCTATTTGACATCAGTGCGTAATCTATCGTCGACTGCAGCCTTCCTTCCTCTCACGTTATTTGCTCTTCACACTTCTCAGTACTGTTGCAAATGATCAAACCATGGCTTTCACACATATCCGTGATCATTTTGCCTATTGGGTAGGTATACTCATTTATATCTTCTATGTGCGCATTCATATCTCCTAGTAATTTATCTCGCACTCTGCTCCTAATTCATCAATGTACTTTGATATGCACTCCACCATTGTCTGGTTTTGCTCTCTGGTTTTTGCTCCCGTCCACAAGTGCACCAAACCAAGGAGTGTCACAAATTGCTGTGCCACTTTCCCTTTTAGACATAAATGTTCCTAGCACTCCTGCTTGACCGTTTGCCAGTCTGTACTTTTATGAATGAATACCCCAATACCACCCTCCCCCTTTTTGCTGCCTTCTGTTAGAATATTCCCTCGCGTAGTCTGGATTGTTAGGAGGTTGTTCCAATGGCCCTAAGATGTGTTTCTACAAGACCTTATACCATCGGCCTCTGCTCCCTTATTGGTTGTTCTATCTATTCCCAGTTCAGCCTGTTCCTGCCATCCTGCATGTTAATATACCCTACGTCTGAATTGGCTCGGCCCTCGTGACTACGTCTGCTTCTGCCCCGGACTCTAGCTGTCTTAGTGCACTTCGGAATCGTATCTGTCCATACCACCTGTCAAAGGGTCTTCCTGAATGTTTTCCTCGTTACTAGCTATCCTGTACCCCAAAGGGCACGCGTGCCCCCCTCCCTCCAAAAAAAAACTACTGCGCGTCCTGCAAGTCGCCAACCCACCTCATGACCTAGCCGCCTATCGAAGTGGATTGTCTCGTTGAAAACCAGCCCCCTATGCCCCTCTCTGTTTATTTCCACCACCTCAAAGTCTTTCTCTTGACTCATCCGCCATATCTCTTGGTTTGCGTTGACAACAGCTCTTTGCAGGTTGCCGTCACGCAACGGTACCTTCGGTATCATGCATATCACTACCTGTACCTGAGAGGAAGTGGCGCGCATGTCATCGACCCCTTTCGCCAGTGTGGTTGATAGTCCTGCCATATCTTCATTTAGGACATCGTTTAAACCGCCTGAAATTATCCCAAGGTTTCGTCCATCAGCTGTAGTTTTGAGTTTTGTGTTTGCTTGCCTTGTGACTGCCTCCAGGTCCCTACTGCGACCCCTACTGCAACCCTCTTGTCACCTCATACTATACCTTTGATTGCTTCTGCGCGTCGATTAAAATTTGAGTCTCCGGCGATTATCCCGTGCTGTAACTTTTCAGCTGGAGCGTCCTGCACCTGGGGGTTACTTGCACCTGTGACGCCAGCTGCTTTCTCGCCTCCCAGCCCCGCAACTACTTCGCTAAAGCTGGGTCTTGCAACCATTGAACCTGCTGAACCTGGTTTTTTCAAAACTTGCTTGCTCTTTCTTCTCCGCCGTTCTGGTTGCCGGTGCCCTACTGTTCTCTTCGTCGGCTGCTCCTTTGTTCACCTTCGCTAGTGCCTCTTCGGCGGACCTCAGCCTTTCTCCCGTAGCCCTCGTTTTCTCCTGCTCTGTCTTCAACGCAGTTTTCATCTCAGTGATTCTCATCAGC